AGATTCGGAACAAGCTGGGCTTCCAGCCCAGCCATGGGTGAGGCACTGAAGAGGTCAGGTCACCCACCATGGAGGCCCACGGATGCTTCGAAAAAGCGCTGCTTCTTAGCCCAGTTCTTTCGATGGGTCTCTTCCCACCCCTTCCAGGCCAGCAGAACTGGCTTCTCCCCCGTGCCCAAAATACATCAAACATCGCAGCAGGATGATCTACCCATACCATCCATGTATATACCCTTGCGCTCCAACCATATCCTCAGAAGGTGGTTAGACCCCCCAAACCCACCCCAATCACCTTCTCAGGAGAGGTGGTTGGAGCCCTATATAGGCATAATAGTTACATGGACCCCATGAAAACAACCCTCATGTGGGTAACTGGGCCATACATTTACGGGTAGCAAAAAACACTGGGAGGCTGAGGCAAAGTTGCACACCTTCAGTTGGTGCAAGAAAACTCTTGCCACATGTTGCATCCCTTTGCATCCATAAATTGGTCCAACACTGCCCTAAATGAACACCTTAAGAAGAGTCCATCTCAAATGTTCAGCTACCCTGCTCCACCTTGTCAACCCCTTTATTTTGTAACTATAGATTATATACCAGGACCCTCCTGTCGGGGTGTCCAATGGACTACCCCACACTACCGGCCGTTCGGCTTCCAGACAGGGCACCCCGACAGGAGGGTCCAGGTATATATCACATTATATCACTGCAGTTTCATGTTCGCACCTGGTCACTTCATCTTCGCGGAACCGTCGTTCCGAACCCGGCCCCCACAGCGGAGGTCCGTGGTCTCCCCAAGAGCGCCGGTCGTTCCTTCCTCGCTGTGGCTCACCTGTCCCGGCAAAGTTGAGCTGAAGCTCATCCCCTGCGCAGCAAACAAAAACGCTATAGACACGTGTCGCAAACTGAGAGGTGACCTTTCCAGGGAATACATCCAATGCGGCCTGTTTTTGTTCTAGAAGGTGATTTTAGTTGATCATCTGCTGAGCTGAATGATGCCATCCAATGCCCCTTGCCTGCTGGGATGGGCTTACAAATTCTGGGTATATCCCACTACCAGTAACGGCGGATTATGATGGTTACTAAAGGGCTTTCTGATCAGGATGTTGTAGGGCCTACCTATGGTCTTTTCCTTCTCAGCCCTCTCCGTTGAAGCATCCATGTCATGTCGCGGACCGGGTCGCGCCTTCGGCCGAAAGGACCTGGGGAGGCTGAGCCCTTGGTGATGGGGTAGTGCGAGATATGGCTGAAACCTGGAACCTCAAACCCTGGTGACCCTCGGCCTCCCTGGTTGTTCTCTTCATGTTCCGTGGGGCAACGTTGGCATCTCCAACTCCCAGGTACAGCCCTGGCGACCGGGCCTTGGCGCTGGCTGGTATCGATCTGTTGGTCAACCCAGGTCCGTTCGTTGAGCCACAGCCCCAAACACTGCATGGTTCACCGATCAGTTGTCGTGGCTGACAAAGGTGTGAATGTGTGGGAATATATTCCAATCCCATGGAGTCTGGGGATTGTAAGGGGATGTGCCTTTTTGGTCCCCTCTCTCTCATCTCTCATCTCTCATCTCTCTCTCTCTCTCTTTCTCGCTCTCTCCGTGTCTCTCTCTCTCTCTCTCTTTTATTACATATCATATAACCTGCATAATCTGTCCACGACTCATGTTGAGCCAAGAGTTCTGAGAAGAGCCCTCTTAGCCGCGATTTAAGGAGGCTAAGCCATGTTCCAATTCGATCATTAGGACATTACCCTGTCTACCGATCCCTTCGCGCATGTGTTGGGGAAGGCATCCACTGAAGAGCTGACGAACACTTCACACTGTCCATCGCCTGGATTCGCTTCTGGAGAGCGGGAAGTCTTTCAACGGGGCTGGCCACCCAAATCCACCAAGTTCGGGAAGCTCGAACGAAAACCCACACAACCCCCAAAAGGAACATCAACAAAGACTGGCAGCTTCGGGAAAACAAAAAAAAACGACAAACTGTGTCTGCCTAGCACAAGAACTGAGCTCCAGGGCAGCTCCGAAGCTGAAACTCAGGAAAAGCAGGCGCGCACCCTGGGCACTGGCCGTTTCCGATAAAGACTTCATGCGGTCTTGTCACTGTTTAAGCTTGTTGACCTTGCTCATGAAATTGACCCTTTCGCATGGCTGAGCCGCTTGTTCAGAGCTTCTTCAGTGTTCTTTCTCATTGTTGAAGTCAAATCCGAAAAACAACACTCAGCGCTGCGGCGAAAACATCACGCTGGGACACTCCGGCCTCAGCTGGGCTGGACCTTAGTCGTGTGGCATGGCGGGGGGGTCCGGGAGGTTCTCAGGGGCTCTACAGGGCAAGCAACATAACTGTATGACCTGATTTTGTAGTGCGAAAAAGCACAAAGTAGAACGATGGTTGTTCGGGTAAGAACCATTGAATCAATGGTGGTTGGAATCGTAGGGATAAGATGTATCCCTGTATCCCTCCAACGTCCTCATGGAAGTGGAATTGCATGCCCATGGAACAACTATGCTCCGAACTACAACGAAGGGTTTGGCCACTAGCATTCCTCCAACAGGTCTCCTTTGAAAGGTTGTTAGGCCTTACGAGGCCTCAATGGTAGCAGCGCGGGTGCTGGTATTGGAATCCATTGGGCGACTTGACGGCTGATCAGAAGGACCAGCCCTTGACCTGCTGGTCGCCATGGTCGCCATGGTCACCTCGCAGCATCAACCCCCCAAACGCCAAGCCTATTGATCTAGATACCATCTAAGAAGGTGCTTGGACACTTGGACACTGAGCTTTTATGACTCTTTGATGTACGCTCTCCGAAACAAACCATGGAAGTGGAGTTCACCACCTGCTTGGTATGCGGCAAACGGTCATCCTTTCGAGGTTACGTCATAAAAGCATGATTGTGGGAGTGTAGGTGGGAGGGTCCAGCCGTACTGAACCTGAGAAGCCTTGCCCCCAACACCAACCGCCAACCACCCCAGGCGCTGAAACCCTCCGAGGCGCTCCAGGAACCTCAACGCCTCCCGCCGGAAGTCTTCGGCCTCGGATGTCTTTCTGGCTAGGCGGTAAGACTCTTCTTGCTTGAAAGCCTACTCCAAAGACTTGTTTCCCTAGCAAAAGGTCCTGAACCGCCCAAGGTAGGTCGCACACCTCCTGAAACTGGTTTCATAGATCTCTGAATTGGGATGGATCCAGTCGAGTTTTTCGAGACCCCGGGCACCCGGGCACGTCAACTGAGAAGACCTCCTCCAACCCCCCTGGGCTCCCTCACACCGCGTCCACTGGGCACCACAGCAGCCTTAGTCGAGCTGGTGCACTAGTTGGCCCCGCCCCCTCTCCCAAACAACAAATGATGGGATTGTATAACACTGTGATAAAAAAAATATGCAAGATTGAAAACTACACTGTATAACACTGTATAACAACACTGTGATTGAAAACTACAATTCTCTACAGGTTGCCGTCATGCTCTGTGTGACCAAGAACGCTGTGTTTGTGTAAGGACAATAGACAATAGTCTGAAACACTAGTTCAACTGGACACATGTCATCAAATCATTAAGATACTTCCCCTCCCTGCTTCAACCGCGAGAGTTCAACTGCCCACTTTTGCGAATGGCATGAGCTGTGAGCTCGCTCGCTGTGAGGTGCGGCAAGCACCAGGAGTGACCCCAGGAGTGACCCGGGTCGTTTGAGTCTCGGTTGTGTTCGCGATCTCTTGGACCAACCACCCCAAAGATGGCCAACTCCTAACACAACAGTGGACATGTTTGTCTTCTGGCGGTCCGTTCAGAAAATGCACCATTGGCGCCAACATCGTATCTAATTGACCTCGTCGTTTCTCACACATCAACGACTGAACGGATGCTTTTGACCATGTAATCATGTACTGAAATGGTAAGTTCAGGTCACGATGCAATGCCGAGTTCAGGTCACAACTCTGCCCGCGTGGATGGCACTTATTGAAGCTCCAAACTGCTTGGTGGATACCGCTGAGACTTGTCATCCAAGAAAGTAGAAGAATGGAGCTGTGGGACAAATGGACATATGGTCCTTGAGTTAGTCCACATGGGTCCTCAAGCGGGGCGATGGGAAAGAGATTCAAGAATCCAAAGAACTGCAGGAACAACTTCTTCCATGTGAGTTTTTGGGATGAGTGTAGGGGCCCTAGTAGCTTCTTGTTGCTACCAGTAGTAGCTACTTGTTCCTAGTAGCACGGCCAGGGTCCTTGCTCCTAGTAGCGATGCCAGGAGCCCCTAGTAGCAGTTTTTGGGATTGTAAATCTCCACAGCAGTCCTGAGATTCGCGCCATCATTCATGTGACTTTGTGCATTGTCCAGTGCTTTCAGCGCTCGTCGTGTCCATGCGGATCACTGGGGGCCAGGATGGAAACGGCATAAGGGTTGAGGACATGTCAAGGCAATATGCACCTTTGTTCATTCTACCCCTAGGGATCCAGTCGTACCTTCTCACAAGGCACTTGGACCCTCCAAACCTACATAACAGTGTCTCCAATCACCGTACCTGAGAAGGTACTTGGATCCCTTAGGGTACCTGTATATACACTCCCCACAAAGGCTTTACCGGTGCATGGAGGGACCGAAGAGCGGCCCATTTCGTACATGGCTTTTCGTCAAAACCTGGAGCTCGGTTGATTGGAGGTAGGTTGACCACGTCCAATTGCATAGACCCCCAAATAGCTAGACAAGTCAATTGCCACTGAAACATGTCTTGGAAACCGTGCAATCCGGTCATCTGTTTGGGGACCACGGTCAAGTCTATTCTGCTCATGTGCGGGGCGACACAAAAACAAGGTCCCTATGGATGCCCCTGGTTTTGACTCACAGCCGCCAGTGCGCGAACCCAAAGAGGTCACAGAGTTCCGGAGAAGCTGCACACTGCAGGAGAAGTGGCTGGGAATCCCTGAAGTATGACAAACCTGTTCTTTTTGATGTGACGAATGTATTGGGACAGGTTTGTTCAACAGATTGTTCTGTTTGATTGGTGATCGAATGGTGATCTTTTTTCTGAACCCCGCCGGATTTGATGCGCCGACACTTCGCATGGCCCAGCGGTCACAGGAGAGCCATGGAGAGCCATGGTACCTCGAAGTTCGCATGAACATACTTATGCCCCATGTTGAGGTGGTTTATGAACCTCCCCAATCAACTGGAGGATGGGCACTCCAGTTGGGGGGATTCCTCCACCTCGTTGACCAACATGCACGGAACGTCGAAGCGAGAGACGGGTCAACGCCGAAAACCGATCCTCGTTTTGGGCCCAAACGGTGCTGGTTTTGGTGCCAGAGCAACAAAGGTTGAAGAACCGTATAGACTCTCCCAGCTGGGTACCCCAGGATCCTAGTTCAGGTCACGTTCCACCTCTCTTGGAACGTCAGCCAAGTCTCACACGTCAGCAGTTTCAGGGGTGGTGATAGACCCCAGTGCCAGAGTGGAGAATGATCGGCGAATCGACACCCCTTCCCACCCCCCAATTGCGCGTTCTGATTTTTCAACACGAAGCTCCCAAAGCAGCAGCTCCTGTTCAAGCTGCTGCAGGCAATCCTCCTCAAGCAAGCAGGACCCAAGTTGGCCTTCAAAACAAGAAAATTAATCCAAAACTCCTAGCGAATTCGATTCTTTCAAGTTTTGGAACCTTCATGCTCCGTGAATGTTGGGGACACCCGGCCAAAAAACCGCTCCATGAGCAGCCGGGCTCCAACCAAACAACCCTCAAACCACCTTCCGAGTCCACCATAGTGGCCTCCAAATGGAGAGAAATGGTTTCTATTACATTTCAAGTTGGGGATCTACTTGTCTATCTTTTTTGGGGGTCTATATTTTCCACCCAACCCCAGCGTCCAGCACGTCACGCTCGCCAGCGACCACCGCTGCAACCGCTGCGCTCAGCGGGCAATCCTGGACGGAGCACAAAGGGGATCGCCCCGAGCTGATTTTGGTCCGGCCCAGTGTTAGGCCCTAAGGTTTTTTCTCTGCCATGTTTTGGAACGCATTCATTCCCCAAAAGGTCCAGGTCCCAGCTCCAAACCTGGTCCTGAACACCTCATTGATGATAGTAGACTCTTGAGACAGTTAAACTTATCCATTTGGATTGGACATCCTCTTCATATGGGGGGCAAAAATAGAATCAAGAGTCTAGATTATTCCTCTGGAAAGCGCGCAGGCACTGAATCTTTTGCGATCTTTTGTTGGTCACTTATTATGTACATGATGGATACATTTCCTGGGAAAAATAACATGGAAGTGGATAACATGATGGCAACGCCCCTTGGATTGCAATTTTCACCAGCAGGTGGTTTTACACCCCAAAACCAACGGTTTCCATGCATTTTGCGCAACGGTACTTCTTGAGCGCGCCCCATTGACCCGCCATGCAGCCCCATGCGCTCCCCAGTCCAGCACCTTCTGAACTCGCGGGTCTGGCTACATCAAGTTCAAGGGTGGTATGATGCCAATTCATAGGGGTTGATATAGACCCCCAAATGGATAGAAACGTAGATCCCCACTGGAAAGCGTGCCACTATCTATTTGGAAATCTCAACCACTATGAGTGATCATGGGATTCCCCATTGAATCCCTCCTATATTTGAAGTGAGCTGCCGTCAATGTTGAGTACACTCCCACCTGTCTGACACCCAGTTCTTTCGCTTACAGTATACGAAGGTAGGCACCTAGGGAACACATGCCCAAGAGGGGTACCTATCAGGATCCCCGTTTTGGATGCCCGGTTTGCCGTGCCTACGACCGCACATCAGGTAACAAACGCACGCAACCACCGGCAAACGACCACAAGAATCTGCAAAATAACACAAAACGATCATAAAACCAAAACGACCAGAAGTTCTTGGTAGTTGGAAGGTCCAGGTAAGTGATTGTATACTTTACACTTTGCACTGCTGGTGCCAATAAACGCCGTCTGTGCCCTGCTAAGCCTCCCAAAGCGCTACGAACAAACCGAACAAACCCTTTGGCCCACAACAAATCTCTAACCTCGATCTAGCTACCCATCAGTGGAGCATGGCTTTTCTTGCCAGTTGTCATTCAAAAAGCATTCAATCACACCCTGAGGTCCTCCCCTTATGGGTTTCCTGCAAGTGTTCCCTTCAATAACTTCTGGAACAAGGCCTTCTCATCCTTCACCAGGTCTGGCAGCCGCATGCGCGCCCGCGCGCGCAAGAGCCAGGAGATCAAGAGCTGGACTGCAGCTGGTGGGGTCGCTGGCTGAGCACTCCTGGCGCGACCAAACAACACTTGCTATGGCTTCACTATCCCAAACACTCCATGTAGTGAATAGGCTTACCTTGATCCAATGTACGCAAATACGCCATCCATGGAGTGTTTGGGTATATATCCCCATTACAGGCTCATGCCCATGCGTATTTATTTTGTGGATAGGTACTGATTCATCCGTCATGCTTCAAGTCCACCCGGTCATAGTTTCAGTAGGTACACCTTGTCCACTCATGCTGAAGTTCACCCATCCCCATCTTCAACCAAAAGATATCTTCCATGAAAACTTGAAGATGGGGATGGGTGAAGATGGGGATGGGTGAACTCTCATGCTGAACTCCATGAGAACTCACCAGGGTACATCTTCAAGTGGTGTTCTTCCACTCTCAAAGTGTACCCTCCCGAAAACCCACTGGTTTTGAGGGCCCATGGCATCGTTGTCCACGGGGGTACCTCTTGGGATGTGATTTAAAACCAACGAGGCAGGGACCCCGGGAGGACCATCTACATCGGGGCCCCTGATCATGTGCTCTAATCATCTCCAATCGGCCTTGTCTGGAGGAGACCTTGCATCCCAAAACTGGGTGTTCGATGCCATTTTGTGAGGCAATTTAGGGGAAAAAAGGTTCCAACATGTGTGTGTGGGTCAGAACCTGGTGCCAAATGCTTTGACATGCAAGTTCATCTCCCAAAGTGGCCCAACATAGTTCAACAAAGTTCATATTAGTTCTGTGCAAAGATGATGTTCAAGGCAAATCCAATTCACAATTATCTGTAATAGAGCTCTGCGGCTGGTTTGCTGCTTGGCTTACTCTCCTCCGCCCACGTCGCACAGCCGTGGCTGCAGCCAATTCTTCCTGATCCACCTGAGAACATGCAAATCAAATGAGTTGAGAGGCATTGTGGCCCCCAAAAAGGTTGCTAAGGATTGCTTGGCGTGTCACATTATATGACCTAATGCACATGGGTTCCAATACCTCACCTGTCCATGTCCAAAAACGTTGGTGTTGAACGAGAGAGATTCTTTCATGCAAGTTTCATGCTGGTAGAAACAACTATTATTCCACATGATGTGCAGGAGCAAGGCAAACCCAAATACAGATACATAGTATATACAAATATAGTACAGTAAATCAGTAACATCAGAACACCCTTGGCTGCCAAAGGTTCTTATCTCCAAGTTGCACTGGCCAGCAATTGCGCGAAGCGCCGCAGGGGTGCCCTGGAGCTCAAGCCATCCTGCAAGTTCGGCCATGATTTCAATCAGCCCTTCCTAGAATGCCATCTGAGAAATGCAGGCTCAGCCACTGAAATGGATTCACATCAAAAGACTGATGCGAGAAGCAAGACCCAACATGGCACGATGTGCAAAAACATGAGATGGACAACTGGAGCCTATTAATGACTGAATGATTTACAATGCTGGTGTTAAAGTGCAAAACGACTGCACCCCGAAGCATGAAGCACTGTCCAGTACATGACGCAAAACAAAACATTCTTGGTTTTCTACCACAAAGTGGCCAAACAATCAAACATACCGCCGCCAAAATGTACAAAACTCATCATAAAACATGAACTCTTCTGCAGTATCCGATTCTCTCACCCTCAAAAAAAATATATATATATATATTTGGATGTTTGTGTTCAAAACCTGTGAGGCGACGTGGTCACCAAATCCACATCGATCCACCATGCGGAGTCGAAGAAAACCGCCGAAACCGCTGTCCGGGACGGTGAAGAGGAGTGGCGTGTGGCCATCCCAACCTCAGCAAATCCAAGCTGTGTGGAGTAAACCTTTCTATGAACTTCAGTGAATTCAACCAGTGCCGTCATCGGCTTGGATGGCAAGTCAATTCATTTCAGATTCAGATCATGAAAACAAAAAAAAGGGTATGCGTGAGTTGGAAGGGGCACCGTGGATCAACACAAGAATCTCACCCGCCCTTTCGAGGGACGCTTCTCTCTCTCTCTCTCTGGATTGCTGTGAGGGAAACCACCCACTCATTTCAGGAGAGAGGTTTCCCCAAGGACAAATCAGCACTGCCTGACAAGCATAGTTTGGGAATTCATTTGACTTGTAGAAATGACCGCCCAAGTAGAGGCACACATATATATTTTTTCCGAGCAGGCATGTTGGTTTCCAGGAGGATCAATTCTGAGCAGGTGGGACTGGGCATGGCGGAGTGTGAGTTCATGAGGCCACTGGCCGCCTCCATGACTGTTCCGTCAGTTTCCCCAGAATATGACGATTAAATAGTGTTAAGCCTTTTTTCACTTTGTTGTTTATTTCAAGTGCGGTTCGCCCAATCCCCCCACAAAAATTTTGTAGTTTACCCAGGTCTATTCCAAATCCATTGGGATGCATTGGGGCCAGGGCTTGTACCTGAGCATCCTCGTACTCTTCGATGAACTCCAAGCAGCCCCAGCTCTGCAAGACCCGCCTCGGCGCAGCAACCGGCGATCGGGTCGATCGAAACGGGTCTTGTGGTTTCCACTGCACCAGATGAGTCTATGCCACGTTCCTTGAAATTCTTCGGCGGTATGGTGGGAGAAAAGCCGCGCTCCCCAAAACCCACGGCTGTGATGGGGGAAACTAGATTTCCAATTGAAATAACCACTATAATTATCGTTTGCACTTGTTATCGCTTGTTTCTTGGTGGTACCTCTGTTGAACTCCCCACCACGACATTTCAATCTGACAAAATATACGGTGTGTATTGAAACATTATTGTTCGGCATTCTTTTTGGTAGATCATCTGCCAATATTTCAAGCATATCTTCTAGCATTATTTCAGACATTCTTTCTGGCACATCTTCTGACATTCATTCCGGCATATCTGCTAACATTATTTCTAACATTTTTCTGGCATATCTTTTGGCAATATTTCTGGCATTCTTTCTCGCATATCTTCTGACATTCTTTCTGGCATATCTGCTGACATTCTATCTGGCATATCTTCTGGCATTCTTTCTCGCGTTCTATCTGGCATATCTTCTGACTTGCGGTTGGGGCCCGGCGGGGGACACTGCTGGCGGTTGAGGTCCGGCGGGGAAAACTGCCATGCTGAGCTGGCGGTTGAGGTCCGCTGGCGGTTGAGGTCCGGCGGGGAACACTGCCGTCGGGAGCTTGCGGTTGAGGTCCGGCGGGGAACACTGCCGTCCGGAGCTGGCGGTTGAGGTTTGGCGGGGAAAACTGGCGTCGGGGTCCGGCGGGAGCAGTGCCGTCTGGAGCTGGCGGTTGAGATCCGGCGGGGAACACTGCAGTCCTACACTTGCAGTTGAGGAGGACGAGGAGGAGAAGAGAGGAGAGTCGAGGAGGAGAGAGGAGAACAGCAAGGTAGCTAAGATAAACTCTAAGAACCCTCACCTGACAGGTGGTGGAAAAATTGCTAAGCGTGTAAGAAACCCTGTCAGGGCGAAACTCATTGGCCAAATTAGTGGATATGCGCGGCTGTTGCTGCACTAAAATTCTTCTGGATCATCTTCCCCACGGCATGGTCAAGGCACTCTGGAACATGCTCTGGCTCCACTGAAATCTGCATCTGTCAATTGCATGGCTGCAGTCTAAACCTCGCCACACCAGAAAATCACCAAGAATCCTAAAACAATTCCCAAATGTTTAAAACATATACGTTTAAGATTCTTTCAGGTAACCCTCCGCCCAACTGGCTGCCTTTTCAAGCTCCCGGGGTCCCCTACAATCCCTCTATCTCTAACCTACCCAATTAATATGGCGTGAAATTGTCATGAAGAGATTTAGCCTTTTGGATCCCTCCTCATGAACAGATTTAGTCTTTGGGGCCTCTCCTCATGAAGAGATTTAGTCTCCTCTCCTGATTGACCACACCCAAATAAAAGGGTGAGGGGGATTTATTCATCGGGCGTCGACATCACTTCATAGTTTAGCCAAAAGGGCCAATATTAATGATACTCTTTCCAAAGCCAACACTACCGTAGTCCAAACACTCCATGCCCTCATTTCCTGATTTTATTACTGGAGTTGGTCATACATGGTCATTCAGAACGGACTTGTAGGAGAAACCTACTGTAGCAGTTGACTATGTTGGCACTTGGCACTGTTGGTACCAGAGTCCCTTGGAAGCGACGAACTGCGAGCTGCAGCAACGAAGTGGCCACTTCTCGCGACAGATCTTGGCCACATCGTCGTGGAAGACCTCGACACCTGGCGCGACACCGCTTGAGAGCTTTGGTGGAACATGGAAAGAATTGTCAAAACAAGGCCCCCTGCCACCCCAAAACATGCTTGCTCAATGGGCTTAGAACATGGTGCAAGGTATATTGTCAGATGCAAACTCTCATCGATTTGATCACGTATAGGAAGCCCCGAGTTCGTAGGAACGGGGGAGAACGGCGGATGGGCTAAGCCTGTGAGATCCATTCGCGCCTGCCAGGTTATGCCGATTGCCACCCTCAGGAGCTATGCCGTACTGCACCAAGAGCACCGAATCAGGCGCCTCAGCCAGGGGATAAATATCATACTGAATCTAGTGCTGAATATACCAGATATCAGCATATAGGTTCTATACTGCACCAAAAGCACTGGATCAGTAAAGATATCCTTGGTCCCCCGGGCCAGTCTACATTGAATTTCAAGACCGAATGAAGGAATCTGGTCATATCGAATGTTCTCGATGTTCGCTTTGGGATGACCACCCAAGTCTTTATAGCATGGTGCTGGAACATCCCAATCCCCTACAATATCCGATAACCATTGCTTTAACATATATATTATCTCTCCATGCATGTTTTAGATACATACAAACATTACATTACATTACATAACATTACATACCATACATACCATACATACCATACATAACATACATCACATACATCACATACATCACATACATCACATACATCACCTACATAACGTACATAACATACATAACATACATTACATACATTACATACATTACATTACATTCATACATACATACATACATACATACATTAAGCATACATACATACATACATACATACATACAAACATACATACATGCATACATACCATAACATAACATAACATAACATAACATTACATTACATTACATTACATACATGCATACATACATACATTACATACATACATACATACATACAAACATACATACATGCATACATACATACATACCATAACATAACATAACATAACATTACATTACATCACATACATCACCTACATAACGTACATAACATACATTACATACATTACATACATACATGCATACATACAAACATACATACATACATACATACCATAACATAACAAAACAAAACATAACATACCATAACATAACATACATACATAACATAACATAACATACCATACATACATTCATTACATACATACATACATACATACATACATACATACATACATACATACATACATACATACATACATACTTACTTACTTTCTTACTTACTTACTTACTTACATTACATTACATTACATTACATTACATTACATTACATGCATTACATACATACATACATACATACATACATACCATACCATACCATACCATACCATACCATACCATACCATACAATTACATTATTACATTACATTACATTACATAATTACATACATACATACATACACTACACTACACTACACTACACTTCACTACACTACACGACACGACACGACACGACACTACATTACATTACATTATTACATCCATACATACATACATACATACATACATATATAAATTACATTACATTACATTACATTACATTACATTACATTACATACATGTTAAAATACATGAATCAAAGTATTACTACGGACTTGACACAAATTGCAAGCCATCCTCATATCTCCATGCCAATTCTCTCAATCCTCCACACCCACAAGTCTGTCTGACTTGGCCAAACGGCCGCGACGTACCGAAAGGTCAGCTCTTCGCCTTGGTAAATGGAGCGCTCCGCCACCATGGCCACCATGCCAGGCCACCTCATGCCAGACCACGACCGATTCATCCAAGCGGGTCCCAGCTTAAAGAGGCTTCGACCCAACGAACGTGATTGAACGTCCGCACCCGAACTAGAGGCGAACAAGTGACTGATGTGACCCAAACCATCCGGGAACTCAAAGGGTCACTAAGTGAAGAGGTCTTACCCATCCCACAAGGGGATTCGTTCGCGGATGGGAAGGCGAGTGGTCTTACAATCCATGCCTGGGGGGGCTCTTGTCTTCAAAACCACTCTCCCCGCCTCTCTTGGAAGGTGCACGGTACTCGCGTCGACACGGCAGTAGCGGTCGAAGCGTCGTCACGGTGGTGGTTGAAGAAATCGATGAAGGGCAGCAATCCAAGGGCCGAGCCCTGGCGAAACGTGGGGGGCTTTGCAAAGCTGAAACGTCGCTCGTCGACATGGCATGTGCGGACCCTCTGTGGCGTGTCTAACATGAGACATGGGGACATGACCCCATTTAAAGGAAACATAAAACACACACTTCGAGAGATGAGACATGACCCCATTCAAAAAAATAAAAATAAAAAACCAGTACAAGGACCTTCAAAGTGACCTCTTTGGAGTCTCTAAGTGAAATCTTTAGGGACTAAGTGACTTCATTCTAGGATCTCAAGGACGGTCACTTTGAAGGTCCTGGTACTTGTGTGTGTTGTATGTACCTATTGTCGGAAGTACTTCGAGACTCCAGGCAACAAGCCTCATGGCAGTTCTAAGCATCTAGAAACCCATGCAAAACCCCGGTTTATACCATGTAGCCTCAAAACCGGGAAAGCACAAGTGGATGACAACGGATGAGGAAAGCTTAAAACGTGGCTGAATTGCCCAACTGGGTGTTCAATTTTGGAACTCGTGCTCCAACACTCATCCTTTAATTATCAATCTGCACAAGTACCATGGGTCCAAGACTCCTACCAGCTCTGCACCAGCTGAGGCGGTTGCACTTGGTTGCACTTCACAACGTGGCCGGTTAGTGGCACAGGGGTGGATTCAATCCGTGCGTGAAGTTCTGTTCCGGAGAAGTTTCAATTGGGTAATTATGCATTTTTATAGGGAGATGCCCTGCCCCTGGGCCCCTGGCTGGGTAGACTGATCAATTTTCTTTCTTCAGGGGATCGTTGCCTGAGGTGTCTCCCTATTTGAATACACACCCATGTGATATCTCCTTTCAACATCCCGACCGCCGCATCTGACCACCGCACTGGCGGCTTCTCCCGACCGGGGAGGTCCCACCGGAATTGGACCGTTCGAAATCGCCCCTCCCCATCTTCCACAAAAACCATCATAAAGTGTTATAAACTGACCCAGCACCTTCCAACCAATCTCTGCAGGCTGAAATGGGTGACCTGTACAGTCGAAGGTGGTGACCTGCGAAGTCGGGGCCTGGACTGGGTCGGGTCCTGGACCCCCAACCAGCGCCTGCAACGCGAAGTTCCTCGAGAGCACCAGCGAAAGCGCCCCAGACAGTTGCGCCGAGCTGTGCTGCGCGCGTCTCGTGGAGGCGGAGAGGCAGAGGTGGTGGCAGTGCGCTGCCTCCTTGCGGCTGTGAGGCGGAAATCACCAATCATACGTCTTGGAAGACAGTGGAGTGGGAAAAAAACAAGCAAATGATCTAAACCAATTGGACTTGGATTGCATTTGATTACCTTCCAATTTGACTGTGACATCTCTTATATTGAGACCCTGGAGGGTGCTTGGATTCTGGTTTCGAAGGTTGTCTGAACAAAAGGACTAGGCACATGCAGTACACTGCAAGCCAGTGGGGTCCAGTGGGAATGTTAAGCTGCGAGGCACCTCAGTTGCAACTCCAGTGTGTTCTAGGGCTCTGTCGACGAATGGAGAACCAAACAACAGTTTGCTTTGTGTCGCTCGCCGTGACCAAAGAGACACCTTCATGATGTCCAACAACATGTTCGACAGGTTTGAAGTTTGAAGGCGAGCCACTTTTCGATACGTTTCCTTCATTTTGTTGGTCCCTGTTGACACCAAGAATCAATCTCTGCACAACTTACCAGCTCTTGTTCACTTCCAGATTTTGCATGATGCGGCTCTTTCCATCGCATTTCAGTCAAAGCTGTAAGATGGCTGCAAGACGACCCAGTTCTTGCTGGTTCAATTCAACAGCACAGTGGCACGCCATTCTCCGGCGGATGGCCAGCTTGCTGAACAAAAATTCAAGACGGCGGAGGGAGAGGATTTTCAGGATGTTCACCTCGCTCGGCCCTGCTAAAGGCACACAATGTTGCTTTTTTTGCAGGAAAACCGACCCTCCTGCAATAGACCACATGGACCTCCGAAACCACTGGGTTGGTATTCCGAAACTTGTCTTAACCATTGGGTGAATTGTCAGGCCTAGGGCAGGGGTTGTACCACTGCGGGGTTGTACCGTCTCAATCACACAAACTGCTCTTCGGCCCCCGTCAATCCCCAAAGAGATCGGACCGAGTCAGTATTGTTCATGTTCATGTGATTTGCGGGCTAATACATCCAGCCAAGAACGGACATCTAAATCAACCCTGTGCTTATCCGGGTTGGTTTGCTACATAAGTTGGGAAAATGCTCTTCTCTCCGGATGCTGGTAGCCTTTGCGGGCCAGCATTCAACAACTTAAGGCAACAAAAGAATCTCTCCACCTCTCCCCGCGCAAACCCACCGAAACCACGAGGTCGGATGACCAAAAACTGGTGCGCCAGGATGCAACCTTTGGGCACTCCAGAGCTGTGGTTAAGCCACTTCCTTCACTTCCCCCACACATTAACTTCATCAAATGTTGGAATGCAGTTCTGCAATGTTCCGCATGGTTCTGTTGTCTTCATGAACCAATCATGACCCAGTTCTACCACGGCCCCAGTTCGATCTGCTGCCGGTGCGGCTGTACAACGGGTGCGATCGGATGAGGTGTCACAAGGCCCCCGTGGGCCTGAGAGCTTTACATCCGGAGCTTTACAACTTTACATGAGAATGGGGTGAATGGGTGTGTGTTCGTAGGAACCCACACCCTGGGACCCTGGGACGATTTTCTACCCGAACAGGGGGGTCTCCATATTTTGTTTGACACGCCAACGGATGAGACCGCTGCGAGTCACGCAGCAGCTGTTGTACCGATGACTCCTGGCGACGGCGAGTCTCATGCGGTTGGGGCATTGAGCAAGGGCACAAAATAACACCAAGAAAGACCGGTGGGGGAGGGTCTCGAGCAGCGTCCTTGGAAGTGATTGATGCAGAGTCCCGTGAAACGAACAAAGCAATCTCGATCCTCTGTTCTGGGTCACCTAAAGACTACTACCCTAAGCCCTACAACTACTACCAGACTGGACCTCCAGTGGACACCCATGGGATGATCCTGGCTTTTTGACCACACTCAGGAACCAATTGTTGGACCATGTCCGTCATTTGGAGGATTCCGACCGGTTTTCTGGTGTTGCGACGCACCGCCACACAGTTGAAATCCGACCAGGTGGGTGCACTGCACCAAGAAGGATCAGAAGGATCCAACCGAACTCTGACCTCAGTCCTTTTCAGACTCAACTTCGACCTGGCCTTGGCACCCGAACCCCCCGGGGTCCCACAGTTCAACAAAGCTTGGATATGAGGAACCTGGAACACGACAAATGGTGTGTGTACCATTATACCCCCATGCAATATGGGAGAACAACAAACTCACATGTTTCAGCAAACTCAGGATAGAGCAACAACTAGAAAACGATCTTCGTCTCAGCCCACGGCTCTCGCCCACGGCGACGCTCCGCTCCGCCCCACGGACCCGCTCGTCTCCACCAGGCGTCGGGGCAGCTCCGTCGATCTCCGCGCGCGGGGACCCGCCGTGGGGAGCTCGGTCGCCTCGACCTCGACCTATGGGCGGAGAGGCGGAGAGCCGACAAAAGACATCCGAAGTCCGGCACCCAGGTCCGGCACCCAGGTCAAAACCTATAGTCCTCCAAAAAACCGCACATTGAGTTAAGTTGTTTTAAGTGTTGTTTTATGTTGTTTCTTTTTCTAGATATGATGAGCTGTAGTGAAAGACATGAGTTTAAGCTGACCTTTGGAATGGTGTTCCTGGTTTCTTCGAAAAATCAGAAAAGGAGTCCGTCCTCCAAACCCTGGCCCAGGCCACCTAAACCCTCAACGCCACGTCAAACGATCAAGTCTCGGGGATGACCTGAACATACCTGAACCAAGGGAAAACATCCATCAACTCACTGACTCCCTGACCATTCATCGCAGGGGACGGACCCGAACCAAATGCTTTGATTACGCTTTTCAATTGGCTCAGGCCGGAATTTGAAGGGCTGAACAACAAACAAATCAGTTCCTTTTCACATTGTGTAATGAACACAACTACCAACAACCATTCCACAAGCCCCCGGTCTGAAACATGTCAACAAGGCCCAAGGCCCAAGCAAACCACAACGCACCACAACCAACCTGAGTGACCTTCTTGTTGGACCACCAACCGCCCCAGTCAAAAGTTACAAAGCTTTGTTGCAAAAAGATCTAAGAACCTAAAACTACAACCAAACTACTAGAGCTGATGGTCCTTTTCTAAGCTCTAAGTGGCCCCGTTCAACATCCACACGGCACAGGGGCCCCACACCTGCCCAAACCAAAAGGTCAGCGGTAGGGGGTAAATCCATCCCACAAAGACTGAGGCCAAGCATACTTTCCAACAAACGCAAACGTTTCCACGAGCGCCGTCGAGCAGGGGCCCCAAATAGGTCGACCCCCCAACGTTCGCCTCTTCCACCACCTCGGCGAACTCGGAGGCCGCAAAGGAGGCGAGGCTGCTCTCGCGGCTCTCACGCCGTGCGGAGGGAGTGGCCTGGTGCCAATGCGGCAGTTGCAGCGCTTAGCCGCAGTGAACCAAAAGCATACTGGTCAAGTCGGGTCATTCCCAACTCAAGAAGTTCCAGAAGAAGATCTGCATGGGAGACAAGCGGAGACAAAGCAAAATCGACCCAGCCGAGCATCAAGAAGAGCCATGGGAGACAAAGAGGAAAAAAGGAGACGAAGGAAAACAAAGCATCCAAGAAGAGCTACAAGTATAGGAGACAAAGGGAAACAAAAAGACAAAACGCCAGAAATCCTCTTGGCCCAGGATCGACGAATTGAGAACTCTCACAGCACCCTGTGCCTCAAGGGCTTTCGCTGGCAAGCGGGTGAGCGCCATCGTGACGACCGCGCAGAACATCAGGACGGCGCCGATCACCGTCAGCGTCCTGAGCGAAAACCGATGGAAGCGCCGCTGGGAGGCGATTGGCTCTACACTGAGATGCTGATGGCTCATCTCAGGAATCGTTTGGTAGTTGGTTGGGTCCATGGTTTGGGCATGTTTGGGCATTGCCGGATTTGCTTACCTCTTGACTACCATCATCAGTCTGGGTGTCCTATCATCTCTGAAGATCCAGCCAGCCACGGATCTCAGCATGGTCCAGGCCTATCAGGCCGGTGTGGAGACCGGTCGGCGGAAAAAGCCATTCATCGGTCGGATCTGGTGATCTCCCGTCTGGCCCGAGCGATTGCGACCGGCGTCCGCGGTGCGTCCTTCGCGTCGCGAGGCGTCTGTTGAGGCCATTGGTGCGTCCTCAATAGGTTTCTGTAAGCGTGCAAACATATGATAGCAATGTCCCACATTGCAAAGAGAGACACTGTGATTGAGCATTGAGGATCTTATCTACTTGAGAAACCAAACACGACTCATATATACAGTTTGGTATGCTCCTCATTGCATTTGCCAAGAATCTCAACCAATCTCATCACCTCTCCCCTCTGCCCCCCCACATCGTGAGCCTGGCTCCCCCTCTGCCTCGCCTGCCCTATCAAAAGAGACCACTTAGTGACCGACCTTGCAACCGACCTTCCTTTTTAGGTAGGGATGCCCGTCCGAACAAGTCCAAAGGAGTGACCACCCCCAGTGTGCGGATGTGGAGCTGCTTGAAGAATTCTTAGACGTTTCTTGGCAACATCCTGAACAACACATGGAAGTGGAGAGGGCAGAGGCCCTGTCTTGGTATCTGGCCAATTGTCCAAGGGTCTTGCCATCCACTTCCACCATGCTTGTTGGATAGAGGCGGTACTATTCACAAATTGGAACATGAGGAAGCAGCCTTTTGCAAGACTGCTTAGTGCTTCATTCCTTTCCTGTAGTTTCTGCGGCGATCGTTGGACTCATTTCGGAGAGCGACAGTTCTGCTATGTGCATTCCAGTGTCTTTGGCACTGAACGAAAAATGATGATGTCCAGCAAATACCTTAGGAACGGGAAATCCTTGCACAAACCGATCATGGAACTGCAAAACTGCAAAACACTTTGAAAAAGGACATGCATCTCTGGGGGGGCAATGTTCAAAGTTCAAAGCTGTCTTAGTCTGAGATGAGCAATGCCCCCATACGGAACGAGCGCAACAAGCACTCATCAAGAACGCGCAGGAAACCGAAGGAGTGTGGATGAACATCATTTGTTTTGTTAAAGGGCCATGCAAATACCTTAAAGTGACAAACTGTTGTGATCAAACAAGACGGGAGACACTTCAAGTTGGA